TTACATATTTTAAATCGGTCTCTTTTTACACTAGTGATTATTGAGATCTCTTAATAAGTCAATAGTGACAAAAAAAATCTCTCATTAGCAATATTTTTTTTTTTATATGTTCCAACTGAAACAATATAACTGGAGTTGTGCAGGGACAGCGGGTGTATGGAGATTGGCAGGGATGGAAGAAGCCGGAGGCTGGAAAGATCGAACCACCGTGGAGGATATGGACTTGGCCGTTCGTGTTGGTTTACATGGCTGGAAATTTGTCTTTGTCAACGACATTGAGGTACTTCTCGTTTTTTATTGTTGGGAGGGGGACAATACTAAATTAATGAATGTGTCCAAAACCTCTTTGTAAATTAGAAAAATAAGTTTTTAACTGGTAGAAATAGTCCAACACCTAATTAATATTCTTCACATGTGCTGTTTGCTTTGCACACACTTTATGGAAAGTTATAATTTTAAAAATTGTACTAGCAGCCGTCTCGTTACATATTCCATATGCAACAATTATAATATCTCAGTTTCAAAAAAAAAAAAAAATTATAATATCTATTTACGTGTGGATGTCAATTAACAAGACTTGTATATTTTTTTGTAGGTGAAAAGTGAGCTTCCAAGTCAGTTCAAGGCTTTTAGATTCCAGCAGCATCGATGGTCATGCGGTCCAGCTAATCTCTTCAGGAAAATGACTATGGAAATTATTCTCAATAAGGTACTTTCTCCACTTCACATGTTTCACTTTGAGATAAACACGTGAAAACTGTTGGTCGCACGTGCCAACATGTAACGTGAGGCATGCATGATGATATCAAATTTCAGTTTCTCTATTGTTTGATCTTTAAGCAATATTTACAAAAAATAAAAGAAGGTTTTGGTACTGACTTTGATTTGACTATTGTGAACAGAGAGTGATGATTTGGAAGAAGCTATATGTAATATACAGCTTCTTCTTTCTACGGAAGATCCTAGTCCATTTCTTCACTTTCTTCTTCTATTGCATCGTTCTTCCTACGAGTGTATTCTTTTACGAAGTCAACATTCCCACTTGGTCAACTATTTACGTTCCTTTTATGATCACTCTCTTCACTGCTATTGCCACGCCAAGGTTAGTGCATGCTACATACTTTTAACGGCATAATTCTCATTATTATACTAACACTATATAATATATGAATTATTTGCATTCACGTAGATCATTCTATCTCGTGGTGTTCTGGGTCTTGTTCGAGAATGTAATGGCTATGCATCGGACCAAAGGAACTTTCATCGGTTTGCTTGAAGGAGGAAGAGTTAACGAATGGGTCGTCACCGAAAAACTAGGAGATGCTCTTCAGACTAAGTTACTACCTCAAGTGAAAAAACCTCGAAATGGGATTCTCCAAAGGTAAAGATTTAATATATATATATAAATAAGTATTAGCAATGAATTTCTGGTTAATCTTTCATAAGCTTCATCTTCAAAATTAGTGAGATGGTACAACATACAAACAACTAAATAAAGCCATCAATCAAAGTTTCTACGAATAGTAACTGGTGAAAGAATTTGATTTCTTGCAGATTAAACCTAAAAGAGATGATGGTGGGGATATACATACTGTGTTGTGCATGCTACGACTTTGCCTTCGGGAGTACATTGTTTTACATTTATCTATTCATGCAGTCTCTTGCATTTATTATATGTGGGATTGGTTTTGTTGGAACTGATTAAAATGTCCAATCTAGGCATCTTATTCTCATCAAGAAAACTATAATTAGTAATATAACTAACCGTTATGAACAATACACTGAAAGTTGCTAAGAGTACAATCCTTCTTTGTCTAGATTTTAGAATTAGTTTAGTTTTGGGTATATAATTCAATGATATCTTCATTTCATTGTCCCCCTCAAATTATTTTGAGAATTAGTAGAGGTGCTCGACTTGAGTTGAAAGTCCCTCTGTAAAGGTAACATTATTTCCCTTTTTATAGAAGAAAACATCTTTTACCGCACAAGACAAATGTGTTTTAGACAGCCAAAGCTTGTGTGGTAGGTACATTTACAGAGACTTCTGAAAAAGTATGGTAACTTTTGGATCGGTCCCTAAAAACAAATAACTAGAAGACTGATACTGCTCCCTTTCAACATTATTGCCAAATTGTCCTTTTCTAAAAGAAGTTGAATTATTATTTATTTATTGAGAATATGTGTATATACATGATAATTAGGCACTCAAAAACTTACTAAATATCTGAGTATTCATCGAAATACCACAATAAATGAACAAGAATGTGATCCAGTGAGTGAGCGTATCTGCTTTGGTAATTTTCGCTTGACCAGTCAGCTCTTGGGCTATTGATCGGTTAAATCAGGTAGGGTAGCCAACATTTGAAGACAAATGACAAAAATATTATGGTGGAATGACAAAAATATGGTTGAAAGAAAGAAATTCTATTATTAGCATAATAATAATATTTACTAATTAAAAAAACGTACAAACATTGTAGTTACGGACCAAAGCCAAGAACCACAGGCGAGATTCTTAACAAAGGTTCTAAAGTCTCTTTTGTGAACTTCCTCGCAAATAAAAAACATTTAGAAGTTGTAATATTCTCACCATCACGACCATAATACGCACACTCATCTGTAAACCGGATACGGTTAAGAAACTCATCAGTAATATCAGGCCAAATAAACCGGCCAGGATGTGGACCAGCTTTCGACCAATCAACCCAAGTCAAGGTCCGGTTTGAGCTCATCTCGCCATGCAACATGTGAACGAGGGTCGGGATGTAATGTTCGTCCATGTAACAAGGCGGTTTGCAGTGCTGATCAAATATCTTGTAATAAACCGTGTCTGAGATTATGTGAAGAGCAAGTTCGCGTGTAGTTTCAAACCATTGTGATCCTTTACGCCAATGTGTGATATTGATTTGTGGATACATTTTGGGATTGTACCGGCCTCGACCGGACTTTCTTGGGTCGTCATATGAGCCGATGAAACTGAGATTAGTGTCGGTTAAGTAATCATAGATGGTTGTGAAATTGAATAATGGGATGCAAGAATCTGATAAGAGGACGAATCTTTGGTTTGACTCGTCGAGGAGAGCGTTGGCTAATAGTCTTCTCTCTGCGTCTACCATTGATGATGTTCCCCAATAGACCGGCTGTTTCAAATATTCACAAACCATCAGCATTATTAAATGTTTTAAATCATCTGAACATATCTAAACAAATGCACGGTTTACTGAACATATAACTATGGTATTGGAAGGTATATCTTTATATCAACAATATGAAAAATATTTAATGTATTTAAAAAAACATGGATGCAGCAATAAAAAATAAATCTAACATATTACAATACATATAGTAGTGGAGGCCTATGGGACAAATCTAATATTTTAAAAAGTTGGTTAACTATGTTATCACAAACTATATGAAAATATGACATAAACGACTATAGACTGGTAAATATTGAATATAATTAATCTAAATATATGTTTTAATATCAATCAATAGTCTTCAGGACAAATCTAATGTGGGTCCTTGTCAAGCAAGCTACAAATACAATGATTTAACATGGCCTTAAATCACTATAGATTTATTAATCATATTTATGGAGGAGGAGGGATTAAGAAACGAAATAAACGTCATTAACTAATTAATGCTCTTAAGATTCATGAATTACCTGGCTTGGGATTCTTCTTGAGTAGAAGGCGGATGTCTCAGGGTAATAGTCTTTAAAAGATGGATGAGTATGAATATATATGGAATAAAACCCTTCATGTCCTTCAAAGAACTTATCCCACAAAGAAGCCAATGGGAGTCTGCCACCTGTCAAGAACATGAAAGCCACTTTCACAACCCTCTTCTCATCATTATCATGTCTCCACCCAAACCATGAAGATGATGTTAATGATGATGATAATGAGGAGACCCTGGTGAAGAGTTCTTGATCACTCATGTTGTGTTGAAGTACTTGTAGTTGTAACTCTTGTTCGGTCTCTACACTCGTTGTGTTGTTGAATAATAATGTTGACCATAAGGGTTGTTGTTGTGTCTTCATCGTCGAAATGTGGAAGTCTTTTAGTTGCAGACAAAGAAAGAGACCAATTGAGAAACCAGTGATGAAAATGAATGAAGTTAAGAGATGATTATAACCCTTTACAAAGAGATTCAATCTCAAGGGCTTTGAGATCATTGGATGTTCTTCTTCTTTCTTGCTCTTTTGATCAATAATGACCATTTTGGAGAAAGGAAAGAGAGAGAGAGAGGATGTGATCGTTAAGCGTTTTGCAACAGTTATTATAAATGCGATATTACAAGGCGTACAAGAATAAATAGCAAGCTGTTTGGAGTGTATTAGACAAAGTCAAAGGAGAAGTTGCAAGTTAATGTACATTAACAGGGTAGACTTTGTAATGAAGAGTTGACCTGATGGCTTTTTTGCTCTTTAAGTCAATTAATGTATCATGTATTAAATACAAAACTTATGTTTTAGATCTTAAACATTAATACGATTTGAGAAATTTTATCTTGCCCATATGACGGTGTAAGAGGTACACGTTGATTGCAGTTTAAGTAAAGGGGACATCTTGTAAATACAAAGCTAGCGGTGATTGATTTAAAAATTCACAATCTTGATTCTGCATGATAGTACACGTCTACCGGTGATTCAACCTTTAAACGTCAAATTAGTAAAAAAGAAGAAAAGGTGAGTCAAATATGGATATTTGAATCGGACCAAATCTGAATCCTAGGTTGAATCAACTGGTGGGAGTGGTGATGTAACGAACGGTTTTTGTGACAGACTTTTAATAGACTTTTTAATAGTGTTTCAAAAAAAAGACTTTTAATGATGTGTGTTTACGTTCCTTTTTTTCTGTTTTTAGTTTTCTTTCTGAAAGTATAAATTAAACCGAAGCAAAGAACATTTCGTAGCAACCCATAATAGCCAACTCTAGCTTCGTGACTTGCAAATCAAATCGAAAACCACGATGTCACTCTTTTAAAAACTAAAACTCTAGGTTGATAAAAAAAAAAAAAAAAAACTAAAACTCTAGCTACTATATAGTTTATGAGTTGTAAATTTGCTACGTTAGAACTTATAAATCGGAAAGTTTGAGATACAATTTAGTATTAGAAAAATACAAGCGTGTGCAAGATGTTCGGCGCTGACCCACGAACCCGAGGAACACGATTTCATGCCTAATTTTAGGTGCACTTAAATGTCATTGCCATAACTTTCTCCCTCTTCTTTTGTGGCTTTATAGTCAAATACGAATTTTTGTTTTGAACAACAATCGACAATAAAGAAGTTAAGCCTTGTTTGACCATAAAAAAAAAGTTTAGTGAATTCTTTAAGCTACTATCGGTAAGGTCTAATTATATTATGCTTTTAGTGCAAAAAAAAGTAATAAAAAACCAAAGTGGAGAATATTACTTCTAAGTAAAGCTGTAAGATAGACTTAGGCCATTTATTTTCGGTGATATAATAATTAGGATTTCATTAATAGAGTTAATCATGAAACTAGTAATTAACCTAGTTTTAATTAAAATTTAGTTACGGTTTCAAATTCAACATAAATTATTTATTTTGATGGAACAAACGTCAAAGTTCCACAGTTTTGGGTATAACTTTTAACACCAGAAAATGTTAGGTTTATTATGTATCAAGTAAAAAGACAAGGGTCGTTAGTTAGACAAGTTTTCTTTGGGGGTGTTGTCTCTCACTACATTTTCAAATAACTAAAAAAGAACAGGCAACAGGATGGTCTGGCGTCGTTCTGTTCATTCTCAAATTTATTGAAGCAGCAGCGATGGACGCCGATGGAGAAACCATGGAGGAGACAGCGGTGTGGATGAGGACTAGAGAGAGAAGCAGAGGAGAACCGAAAAGAAGCTTTATTAGCGTCAACACATTCTCGTCAACGTAATTTTAATCGATCTAACGTCACCGAGAAACAAATTTCGACATTACATGAGCTACACAATAGACGTATGCAAATAAAATAATATATCAAAAAAAAAAACTAACGTAAGCTTTTATTACTGTTTGGATCTCAGATGTGTTGATATCAACGATCTCACTATTATTTCTTCGGACAGAAGAAGATTATGTAAAGCCATTAAAATCAGGCTAGATACCAAGGAAAGGTGTGAAAGGAAAGCCAACATGTAGTGGTTGATGAATTGATTTTCTCATTATTGATTATTTAGTTCATTGTACAAAGTTATTAAAAGAGCACTAAGCGTAGAAGGAAAGAAAGAGACTCACAAGATCAATGATGGATGAAACAGAGTGGGTTTTTTTTTGTTTTTGTTTAAAATCAAGCGCCAGAGGTAAGAGCAAGCTCTATTTCCTCCAGTGACCGTCCTTTAGTCTCAACCACGTTTCCTGCAATGTACATGACTGCAAGGACACATACTCCTGCGAAACCCAAGTAGACACTGCTGATTCCGAATTTAGTCACCACGCTTAGGAAGTAGAGTCCAATCACAAAGTTTGATATCTGTTTGGGCACAAGAAAGAGAAAAAACAAAACAAAGGTGATAAGTCAAGATAAGAAACTATGGTCGAAAACAATAGAGCTTATTAGATATATATACCCAGTGCATGCCGAGAGAAAGAGCAACAGCCTTTGCTCTAATTCGTGATGCAAATATCTCTGGAAGGAGAAGGGCCGGAACCGGGCCAGCACCAAGTGAGAATGACAGAACATATCTGGTTAAACAAGCCAAGATTCAGTTAAGTCGAAACAGAGAGAGACTGAAACGATTTATTAAGAGGAGATTGACTTACAAAACAGTTCCAACAACAGCAAGGGTGCCAGAATGTGCAGCAAGAGCCTTCCATGTGAAGGACAAAGAGAGCAAAAGCATCGACAATGCCTATTTCCATACAAAAAAAAAAACAAAGACTAGAGTTAGCCCGGTTGAGATATACAAATGAGGTTAAACAAAATAGTGAGTAGTGTACCATTCCACCAAAGCTTGTAAGTAGAAGACTTTTCCTTCCCATTTTGTCCATCAAGGAAGAAGCAACAGCAGTGCCTGCAACAGAATTTATATTATTTGTTCGGTTAAGTTGGAACTCAATGGGAACATAGTTACATAAAAGAGAAAACTAACCAAAGACGTTTGATGCTCCAACGAGAGCACTGGCCGCAACATCAGATTGGATTCCGGCACTACGAAACACTGATGTAGAGTAATACACCACTGCGTTTATTCCAGCTAACTGTTGAAACAAGAAGAGAGCTGCACCTACACTTACAACTGCAACAAGAACAGACAAGAAACTACGTCAGTAGATCAAATACAATATTAGGCTTGAAAGCAAGATCTTGGCTGAACTGAAGAGATCAAACCAATGTTATCTACAGGCTACAGCAAGTCATGCAATACCTTTCCAGTAGCGGCTGCTGAATAGATCAAACCATCCTGCCTCTGGCTCAGAAGAACCTTTGCCAGAGGTTGATAAGTCACGCACTAGTTCAACCACTTTTTCTTTACCATACAGAGTTTTAATCGCCTTTTCAGCTTCAGAGACTTTTCCTTGCTGCAATTTCATATCATTAACTAGTCAAAAAAAATGATCTCAGTTAAGTGTGAGTTTGTGTCCATGGAGTGTACCTGAACAAGCCACCTTGGACTTTCTGGAGAAAAACCCATTCCTATAGCTAACAGAACGGAAGGGATGACAGCAACACCAAACATCGTCCTCCACCTATAAAATCATGACTTGGAAACTCAATATACAATACAGAAAAAATATATATGTTGCTCGGATGAATAAAAAAAGGATTCACATACCATAGAGGGTTTGCTGCAAGGGGTAATCCAGCTATCAAAGCTGCAAGTATTCCTATACATATGAACAACTGATTCACTGATCCTAATGCTCCACGGATTTCAGTTGGAGATATCTGACACCAATCACCACACGCTTCAACCAACATAACATTTAAGACTTTAAATGTGCAAAAATGATGAAACTCAGGTGTTAGAAACAACCTCGGATATATAAAGTGGTACAATAGCTGATGAGATCCCAATTCCAATTCCTGCAAGCAACCGTCCCACAATCATAGTTTGCACACTCTGAGCTGTTGCACTGCCAAACAAAAAGCATTATTTAAAAAAACACAAAAAAAAACTACAAACCAATAGGTATAACTTTAGTGATTTCAAAAATACCATAAGAAAGCTCCAACAGCAAGAGGGATAGCATCCAACTGAAACGTCCTTGTTCGTCCAAACTTATCAGCTAAAGTACCTCCAGTGAATGAACCAACCGTTGCACCAGCAAGCAACGCACTAACAATCCATCCTGCTTAGAATCAAATCAAGAGAAATGAGCTTTTGGCTAACTAAATCATTAACCACGAATCAAAAACACACTTGCCTTGCAGAACAGTGTTATCAGCGATGCCAAGATCCTTAGCAAGATACTCAAGAGCACCATTAACAACCCTAAATCAATCCAACGCCAACATATTCATCATCTATATCTATAAAACATCCATGATCAATACTAAAGCTACTCATACCCGAGATGATAACCAAATAATATAGCACCAAGGCACGCAACACCAACGAACGGTAAAACGGTGCCGTTGGAGCTATTCGCTTCTGATTTCAAAGGTATAGCTTCTTCTTCATCACCTACATTCAATCTCAAACTATTATCAGTCGAAGGAACTTAGAAGAAGACTATATGCAAAGAGAAGTTGAGCGGAGACGAACCAGAGGAGGCTTGAGCTTTGACGGATCGAGCTTTGACGGAAGAGAGATTCATAACGGTTTGGATTCCGTTCTCGGCGCGAGCGAGCTTCGCTCCCATCGGTTTCGAAGCAGAGCAGTGGAGGTGGAGTGGTGGCGAGAATCGAATTCCGTTAGTGGTAGTGGTAGTGACGGATCTGTTGTGGAGGAGGTTAGAGAAGTTACGTCGCTGAAACGCAAACGCGGCGTTTCCTTTAAACGCATACGTTGATAACTGCATTTTTTTTTTGTTTGTTCCTTTTTTTTATAGAGTGAGAGAGAGATTAGTTATAATATGAGGAAATGTCGCGTTAAATCTATAACGGAGGTATAACGAGAAGTTAGAAAGGATGAACAACACGCGACGTCACAACAAAACGTTATTTTGATCGCGAGTGGTTAACAGAAACTGAGTTTTTCAAATGATTTGGAAAACGAACGACAGAGACTAAAAGTGAAAGAGAGACTATTTCGAGTAAAGAGATTACCAGTGAAGCTTCGGGGACTCCGCGGAGAGAGAGAGAGGGGATTGTGAGAAGAGCTTTATCAGAGATTTTGATATCAGAGATTTTGATGCAGAGAAAAAGCTTACTTCACAGACAGCTTATTTGTCGTTTTTTAAATCCAAAAAAAAATTCTGGATTTTGTGTAATGATTCATATTTATCCAAAACCATAAGGAAATAAATTATTTTTTTCGTATTAATTTAGATTTTAATTCGTAAGAAAACTGTGAAACATAAAGTAAACTATCTTTAAAATTAAATGGCCGAATTATTGAGGAATTTTATCTGTTGATTTAAAAAATCGAGAAATACAAATTTACTGCTGCAATGTGTAAAACACAAGAGGTGATTTGGCAACGATGGATTTTCTGGATTAGATTTTGGATGACGTGGGACGCACGTGAATTAGAAGAGTACTCACGTGCCGTATACAAGAACACATGATGATGACGTCATAACAGCCACTAAGCATCATTTAGGCTACTATTACTTGTCCTATCATACAATTTTGGGCTACATTTAAAAGGCCCATTGACCCAAAACCGGATATGTATATGCCTCTTGAATAGCCAAGTGTGTTCTCTCTCAAGCTGTGTTGCTGTAGAAACAAATGCTAAACCAAAAACTGAATCTCTGCACCATTTCTCACACACAGACTGATTTAGCATTTGTCAGATTGTTGAAAGTCTTTGGAATCTATTTAAGTTGAACAAAGCAAGTGTTCATGTACACTTTTAAAGCCTAGTCTTTAGATTCTGTTCTCAGTGTGCTGCTGAAGTGGGAACTTGGGCATGAAACTGAATTATAACATAGGTTTCAAAATTGAAAAGCACAAAAAGTATTCATTACATCAAATACCAAAACACATAAACTTAAAACCTCTCTTCTCTATCCTGAAGATGATTCTTCTTCAGCATCATCAATGTCTTACTTTCAAGCTTCAACTGGGTACTCAAAAGTGACATCCTTTCCAGTAAGTTTACGGTACACACCCACCATAGTCTCCAGCTTGTACTCTGTGTTGTTCCTTTCCTTAGCCTCCAAATACACCTGCCACATAAGTCATATCACAATGAAAAGCGTATTCAAACAAAATTCTAATTTACATTCTCATAAAAAGATACTACGATTTACCTTCATGACTTTGGAACCATCAAGACGGTAACGAGTACGTTTTCCAACGATCTCAGCAGGGTAAGCAACATCCTCGAGCATAGCTTCATGAACAGATGTTAAAGTCCTGTTGCGTGGTCTCTGAACAGCAGCACCTTTCTTAGGAGGACGCATGATCCTTCTCGTGGCAACAAAGATAACATCCTTTCCACTAAACTTCTTCTCAAGCTCTCTGACGAGACGAGGGTGAATCTTGCGGAAAGCTTTCCTCAATCTGAATGGGACGTAAATCACAATAGCCTTGCGGTTTCCAGAGATGTCCATGTTACTGCAATAAAAACAAAACCATATTAATCTCATTTGATCATTGAAATCTGAGACAAGAATGAAGTAACGTACACAGCTTGGTTGATGTAAAGATCTTTCAACTCGCTTTTCAACTCCTGGTTGGTGTTTTCCAAATCAAACAAAGCCTGAGCAACTTGCACATCGCATTCTGTCGGCTCGGCATTCTTGTCCTTCTTGATCTTGTTCTGAGCGGAGAACATCTTCACAGAATCTTGAAACAAGAAAAAAGGAAAATGCTTCAGACATAAGAAACTCACTAAAAGGTCAACTTAAGCTGTTGTATCCAATCATGTAGTATATTAAACTAAACCATAGTATATAACATCTCATACACACTAAACTCTAGATGATTCTAGACCAATTGCAAAAAGCTAAAACATTTCACCATTCTATTGACATTGAAGTAAGCTATCAAGATTTTTAATTTTTTAGAGGGATAGATGAGCACACTACCACTCGAGAAATACAGAGCAAATAAAACCCTTTGAACGTACCGGTTAGAGAAATCTGCAAGGACGAAGAAGAGTACTGGGAGGTTTGCGGCTTCTTCTTACAAGAAGAGCAGTTTGGTGGTGAAATTAGGTTTTTAATGTTAGGGTTTCCGTGGTTGCCCTATTTTGAAAATGATCAATTCTGGGCTTTTAAAAAAGTTTCTTAAAGCCCATGGGCCTATATATTCACAAACTCGTTTCGTCTCACTGGTGTTGTTCTTATATGGCAAGTGGCAAATGGCCACAGAGTTTTTTTTTCTTAGTTTATAGAACAGGGTAGGTGTTTTGCCCGCATTTGCGGGCATATTTTTCTTATAAATATTTATTAGTTGATGTTTCATTAATTTAAAAACCAGTATAATATATTACTATTTATGTTTTCAAAAGTACAAATCAAACATCAAATAATTATAAATGACAAAACTCAAAAATCAGAAATATTTAAAAGAATATATTTCTATAATTATTATGCTTGATTTATATTTAATTATAATATTTCTACAAATTTTTTACTTAATTTGTATTTAGTTGTAATTTTTATATCTTAATTTTATATTTTATAATAAAAAAACATATATTCAAGATAACAATATAATGCATAAGTTATTTATTTTCTCAAAATAAAATATAATAAAAAAATATTTAATTATATAAGATTGTAAAAATTATGACATATAATTAAAATTAGTGATTACCTAAAATCATGGAGAACTTAATGAATCAGCAATTTCACTTCTTAAATATTTTTCGTGAGTGATGATTTATATTTAATTAATAATAGATAATTTGCTATTTTACTTTTAAATTATATAATATAAAAGTATATTTTCAAGATAAAAACATAATACATAAGAATTACTTTATTTTCTAAAAGTATAATATTACTAGTATAAATTATTTCAATTATAGAATAACTAAAAATTTTTATATCTTAATTTAAATTTATAATACAAAAATATATTTTCAAAATAATAACTTAATACATAAGAAATGTATTATTTTCTAAGAATCTGATACTATTAATATAAATTTATTTTAAATATATAATAAATTATATATAAAATTATAGAAATTATGATAAATTATCAAAATTAATTAAAATCAGGGAAAATATGACAAATTAGCAAACATCAAATTCACTTCTTAAATAATAGTATACATTTTTTTACATGTTAGTTTTAAATTTTATAATAGAAAAATATATTTTCAAGATAACAACAATACATAAGAATTAACTTATTTTCTAAAATATAAATTTAATTATTAATAATATAAATTTAATATTTTAATTTTAAGTTTTATAATAGAAAAATATATTTCCAACATAACAACATAATACATAAGAATTATATTTTAAGTTTTATATATAAAAATATATTTCTAGATATAAGATAATTCTTAAAATATATTTCTAGATAACAACATAATTCATAAGAATTATCTTATTTTCTAAAATATGATATATTCATATAAATTCGTTTTATTATATATAAATTATATATAATATTATAAATATGATAAATAAATAAAATTACCTAAACTTATGGAGAACATGACAACTAAGAAAATTTACTTCTTAAATAATAGTATAGATCTCAATTGTTAAAAAAAAAAGAAGGAAACTGAATGGGTGGTTATGAATAATTTTAGTGATGAAAAATGCTACCGTGTAAAGGACTGAGAAGAATCCTTCAAAATTTTGTATTTAAATAAATAAATCAAAACTGTTATATTCCAAGCTCCAACTTGATTTTTTGTTGCTTTTTAAAAGGATAAAGATGACACGAAAGTGAGTAAGCAGATGTTTAAGAAATCATGAGAATTACGCAATTATTATTACAAAAAAAATGAATTTATGCGGTTCTTGTCTTCTCTTTGTCTTTGGTAATGCTTTCATCGTGTGAACAAATAATGTCGGGAGTATTATTTATTATTTCTGTATATAACATGAGATTGGATCCTCAACATATTCTGTGGAGATGTGCTAACAGGTCAGTGTCGTTGGATAGAGGACAAAACATTAATGAAATGCCACATCTTTAACATAATCAGTCACGTCACGTGCATTTAGGTGAAGTGTTAGGATGATTTATTCAGAGAAGTAGCAACTTGGAAACCTCCTATTTCACATTTTAATACTCTCATATAATTATCAAGAATAATACAAAATAAAAAAGCATGTTGTTTTGAGAACTTATCGGCAGAAATTTAAGTTATCTTAGATCATTTGCAGCGTGATTATGAAACTGTTGATACGTTAGGTACAAGGTAACGAAACTCTCGACTGATAATATCTTAAAAAGTATTTAAGATTCAACTACTGATTAAGCTTGATTTGTTTAATCTGATGACCCTACCACACGGTATACTTTTTTTTTTTTTGGCTCAACACCACACGGTAGACCTTTATATTTATTTCTGGAATGAGTTCTATAATCAAAAATTATAAACTTCAAGTAGGTGCCCTTTTGGAGTTATTATTCCTTTGTTCAATGCGTGAATGGCTCGCATGTCTCGCTTTCCACTGTCCTTTCTTGTCCCAAGACAAACAAAACATCTCCCTCTCTGCTCTCTCTCCACGGCTAGTTTTTTATCTCTTCGTTTACGTGAGGGGTGGGGGTATCAGGTTTTGGGTACGTCAATTTATATACAAAGGAAAAGTCTACTGTGAATGATACAATAAACAAATAAGTTGAAGTCCGAAAATATTGAATATTGATGTGAACATAAAAACTAAGGATAAGTATCAGTGCCGTGCAAATAGTAATAGGGGTTTAAGGCAAAATTTTAAAATATAATTATTTACAACTATAATGAAAATAGTTTTCTAATAAGATTATATCATCTTCATCAAATACACAAATCTAATACTGTACAATAATAAGTTTATTACGTGTTATATTACATCACAGAAAAATACATGAATTCAAAAAGTGAATTAGTCGACTCTGATAGAAATTTGTTTAAATAAATATAAATCACTAGAATATAAATTGTTTAAATTTGTAAGATCCTAAAAATGTCATATTAATCGAGAATTTGAGACAGATATATTTTTTTAATAAACTATAAACACGTCTCTAATAAAAATTTATGGTTTGAATTCTCGACAAGAGACTGAATACTATCATTCAGATTTTGGTAAATATCAAATTTCTAGAACCATTCTAAAGGACCCAAAAATAATATGAATACATAATCCAAACTCAAATTGGATATGAATTCCATCCATACACACCTTCCATTTATTTTGAAAGAAGCCAGCGTTTCAATACTTCTATTTTTACTTGTTCTCTTAAAGAATAAAAAACTGCACTTTTACATAATTAAAAGTGTTGCATATATCCCATATTTTTTTCAAAGAAATCCTTGGATTTGTTAAAATATGCGAAAATAATGCAAAAAAAAAAGAAGAAGAAAGTTCATTATGTTTGACCAATTAGTTACAAGGCTAATTATAAGGTGCATGGAAACCGGAATATTTAGCTGTCCACAGAATATCACTTTTACGACGGCAATTAAAAGAAAAAAACAAATATTTACAAAAAAAAAATCACCAAGCGACGTCGTTTCACGTCGTCTTCAACCTCACCCACAGTTTGCTTTCTCATCCTTTTATAAATTCCCTTTTCCTCACACGATTTTTCGCCTCTCTCTCTCGCTCTCTCTCATATCTTCTCCATCATCTTGCTCTCTCCTCTCTCGTGGAATCTTACTCAGGTATCTATCTATCTCTCTTTCTTCTCTATCTCAAGCTTTCTTGATAGCTGATTTTTACAGATAACAGATCTTAAGTTTTTTTTTTAATTACCGTCTTTTAGTATCGAAAGTTTTGATTTTTTTTTCTAATAAAGTTTGAATTTTTAAATCCGATCTGTGTTTTCCTCTTGGAGAATTTCTCAGATCTGAATGTTGTGTAATGAATCTGACCTAATTTGCTGTTTGAAACAGGCGTTGTTCTTGTGTGAATCAAAGATGAATCATTACAACTTCCAGCAGAACACCGCCTTCATGTCTCGTGAGGAGATGATGGGATTCGACCGCAAAGATCTCGTTGTATGTCCTAAGCCGCGACGTGTCGGATGCTTACTCACCAACAATCTCATTCGCCCCATTAGATTACACATGAGGTATACAAAAAAAAAAGCATCCTCCTTTCTTCTTTCGTTTGATTATAAGTTTATAACCAAACATTTTAACTAACTCTGTTTTTGTTTTTGTAGTCAAGCTGCTACTGATTTGTGTGAATCTAAAGCTGGTGCTGAGCTTTTAGACATTATTCGTAGAAAGGTATGTCTTCTTACTTCTTAGTAGTTTGTATTATGTTCTGTCTCAAAAGATTTTTCATTGAATTCTAAGTCCTTTTATCTCTTTTCAGGAGGATAATAATGGAACAATAGATCAGTCGTATTTTCACGGTTCACCTCCAAGGAGAGCAGTGAACCCATTAGCTCAAGATGCTCGTTTTCGTGATGAGAAACTTAGTCCACTCTCACCTAACTCTCCTTTCCTTCAGCCCAATTCATCAACTAGCTTTCCTTCCCCATCTCCATCGTCTTCATCAGCATCTTCCTCTCGTGGTTGCGTTAGGATGAAGTTTGGACTTAAACCACCTGCGGTTAGAGTTGAAGGGTTTGAATGTTTGAACCAAAACTCGGGCCGCATCCCTGCCATGGCTTAGTAGACAAAGACAAAACAAAGTGTATATAGAGGAGAAGGATTTGATTACTAGTACGACCACCACCATTTTGAATATTGTGAAATATCTATTATCTTTTCCTGAGAGAGAGAGAGAGGGGAGGAGGAAGATGAAGATTAGTTACCGTTGCCTGTCACCGTTTTGTTAACTTGTTATTATTCAGGTTAGTACTTTTGTATATAAAGAGTCAAGAAATCTCTATGTATTCGTTTTGGTGTTTTTTTTTTGCTGGCTCAGGCTGATCTTGAAGATTAGATGAATCTGTAAAATATAATCGATTATCTTTTTATTCACCATTGTATATAGTAATGTTCTCTTTTTAACTTTGTTTGGGAGTTTAAGCTCTCTCTCAAAAACACTTTTGTATATGTATTTTGGTGTATATTAATTGCATTGTATTTGTTATTTGACTTGTTCTTCTTGACTAGTAGTATCTTTTTTTCTTATATTGTGAGAAAAAGCAAAACCGTTATGTGCTTCTTTCTCTCTGACCGAGGCTCTTTTGAATAGTTTGAGTTGCCCGACAAACTTTCAACTTTTATCGATTCATGGACACAGTCTGCCTCGGACGGTGAACTGATGTGCTGAGTGAACATGTCTTAATAAAGCTGAGTGTTATACAAAGACATCTTAATCTCAAATGGTGAAAGAATGTATTTGATGTCCCTTTGAAAATAAACTTAGCAGTACCAAAATAACAGAGAAACTCATCTAATCTGATTTTGAAGTTGAGATAGCTCTTAGCTTATATTCTGGTCATCGTTCATTTTACTGTAATTGTTGTGTCTTCTAATCCGCAATGTAATTCTGTTAATGTCTTCATGCGGATCTGGTTGTCTTTTGGAAGATAAAATCTATCACATTTTTCTGAAGTGTTTGGTTAACCAAAGCTAATTTGGGATCGAAATTTGGATTATCTCAAACTAGCAAAAAAATAATCAAACGGTAATTTCAGATGTACAGTGTACACAAAAGATTTAGTAACACCATTACATGTTATTGGTGTTCTACAAATGTGGAAGTTCCATATCCTAGTAGTTGTTTAAAGGCTTTTACATCAAGTTTGAAATTCAAACCTTAAGCTATGCAGTTTTTATATCAAAAATGTTTCAAAATTCAGAGAAAGTGAATGACAAATTATGCATATTATTGGAAAAAAAAAGCTTACAAGAAATCTTCACCATTGCGGATTTTATCAGGCGGATGATGCAATTAGACGTAAATCTGCATGTAGAGTTGTCGGCTGTAATATCGTATATGTAATATTTTCGTAGTTTATAATGCATAATTAATTAGTGTTAAAAAAGAAATCAAAAAATATTTGGGTAAAAGGATAACAAATATTATATTCCGAGTTAGTTTTGCAATTTACTTAAAAAACCAAAGTCTCTAAGACGATTAGAGTCTCTCTTCCCTGTTCTCTCTCCACAAAATTTTAAAACACAGTAAGCCCTAATAAACATCTCTCTCTCTTCATTCGCTCACTCTCTAGTTTCTTCTCTTTCTTTGTCCGATCCCGTACGAACGCCGAAACTAATCCAAAATGTCTGTTCGAGTTCTGAACCCTAATGCGGAGGTGCTCAACAAATCCGCGGCGCTTAACATGACCATCAACGCCGCCAAGGGTTTGCAGGACGTGCTCAAGTCCAATCTCGGTCCTAAAGGAACCATCAAGATGTATTCTTTCTCTTTTGATCTGTTTCTATACTGTTCATAATCTTCACTTTCACGATGTTTACTCTCTGTTTTGTTTGGTGTAGGCTTGTAGGTGGATCGGGAGATATTAAGCTTACCAAGGATGGTAACACGCTATTGAAGGAAATGGTGAGTGAAGATCTTATTGAGATCTGTAAGAATCTAGCTGCTTTTTTAGCAGTTAAGGGTACTTAAAAGTCTGTGACTTTTGTGTTCTTTTAGTATTAGATTCTTGAGATGTGTTTGTTTGAGTTTAACTTTAGAGGATTGGTTTGAAATTGAATCTAGGCTATGGTTCAGAGAGTTAAAGCATATGATTTGATTGATTACATGTAGTCATTTCTCATTAGGTCGGAAAAGATGAATTTTAGTGTTGTTCGTATGTTCAATGTAGGTTTCTGATTAGCTAAAAGTGATTTTTTTTTTTTTAATCAGAATTATGATAGAGAAGATGAGGAAAGTATTGTTTTTTACAAATTGTTTTGATTTGATGATTTAAAGCATATGATTTGATTGATTACGTGTAGTCATTTCTCATTAGGTCGGAAAAGATGATTTTTAGTGTTGTTCGTATGTTTAATGTAGGTTTTTGATTAGCTGAAAGTGTTTTTATTTTATTTCTCAGCATTATGGTAGAGAAGAAGAGGAAAGTATTGATTTTTACAAATTGTCTTGATTTGATGATACTTACATGGTTGTTTTCTAATTGTTGCAGCAAATTCAGAATCCGACGGCTATTATGATTGCAAGGACAGCTGTTGCACAGGATGACATAAGTGGTGATGGTACGACTTCCACTGTCATCTTCATTGGTGAGCTCATGAAACAGGCTGAACGCTGCATTGATGAAGGTGAGTTTCTAGGTTAGCTGAAACTACGTGATTTAATTTATTGATTTGTTCGTTAGGTCTATGCCTCTCTATTCTTGTTTTAAGTTCTTGCTTTTCTGATATGACACTTTTAGTTTTCTCAGTCTGTATGTTAAGTTTAGCATATATATGTGTACCAATAATTAATTGATTTTCAGCGACTTTGATTTGCTAGATTTGAATCCAGTGGTGTCTGTATAAACTGTTAGTCCTAAATCCTAATGAAGGTATGTACATGTATCAGGAATGCATCCACGTGTCGTAGTTGATGGTTTTGAGATTGCTAAGAAGGCCACTCTTCAGTTCCTCGAGAGCTTCAAGACTCCTGTGGTTATGGGTGATGAACCTGATAAAGAGATCCTAAAAATGGTCGCGAGAACAACACTTAGAACAAAGGTATTCTTGACTTTAAGATTTGTATCTTTTTCATTTTGACTGATTATTCCTTTTTTTCGTCCCTAACCTCCCGATTTACTCTTGTGTAGCTGTACGAAGGCTTGGCTGATCAACTGACTGACATTGTCGTTAATTCAGTGAGTTTATCTATCTCTGATAAAATCTTCTTAATGCTATTCGTTTTTTGTTTTCCACACCGTTGAGCCTTTGAGGAATCATCTATGCGCAAATATTATTGTTCAAGTTAGTTTGTGTGATTATCTCTTTTTCATGCATAACAGGTTCTCTGTATCCGGAAGCCTGAGGAAGGTATTGATCTGTTTATGGTGGAGATAATGCACATGCGCCACAAATTCGATGTTGACACACGATTGGTATGCCTTTAACGTAACATTGTTCACTTGAAATGTTTTCATAGTTTTCCCATTTTTAAATACGTACTTGTATGGAATCATCCACTTTTGCTGGTTATGCTTAAATATTTTTATGGTTTTGGACATGTTACAAGTACCATATTTATTCATTCCTGATTTAGGTCGAGGGGCTTGTTCTAGATCATGGTTCGAGACACCCTGATATGAAACGACGCGCAGAGAATTGCCACATCCTAACTTGCAATGTGTCTCTGGAGTATGAGAAGAGGTGTGTAATATAATTCCATTGTCAATTCGGTGAAGAGAAATAAGAGCCTAGATGTTGTTGGTGAATGGTGATATAGACTAATATTTCTATTTATCTTTCAGTGAAATTAATGCAGGGTTCTTCTACTCTAATGCGGAGCAGAGGGAAGCCATGGTCACTGCCGAGAGGAAATCTGTTGATGAAAGAGTTCAGAAAATTATTGATCTGAAGAACAAGGTGGGACAGATACCATATATAGCCAAGCCTTATCCTGAAATTCTGTAAATATTAATATTATTTCTTGTGCAGGTGTGTGCTGGTAATGATAACAACTTTGTTATCATCAACCAAAAGGGTATTGACCCACCATCGCTGGATCTTCTTGCTAGAGAAGGGGTAAGCTATAACTACTTTTGTAATTTCTTAAATCCATACTTAGTTTACAGACAGTTGAATTTGTTTTAGTCCGATGCTTAGAAAGTAATAAGAAAGATGCTACAGAAGAATGCTCTTTTGATAGATTGTAATTTCTCATGTGTAGAGACTGTTGAATCTAATTACCCTTCTTTATGTCTCCAGATTGTTGCCCTTAGAAGAGCAAAGAGGAGGAACATGGAACGTTTAGTTTTGGCATGTGGTGGAGAAGCTGTGAATTCTGTTGACGACTTGACCCCTGAGTCGCTTGGATGGGCTGGACTTGTCTATGAGCACGTTCTTGGAGAGGAAAAGTACACCTTCGTGGAGCAAGTGAAGAACCCTAATTCGTGTACCATCCTAATCAAAGGTATTAGGCCAACTTCCTTCTTTTCATTAAGTTTTCAAAGGTTTTATTTATTCTTATACATATTCACTTTGGTTGTCATTCATGATTTGTTGATTTTCTAGGGCCTAATGACCACACCATTGCTCAAATCAAGGATGCGGTTCGTGATGGTCTAAGATCGGTTAAGAACACAATAGAAGACGAGTGTGTTGTGCTAGTAAGTACCTGACGAATTGTTAATTCCTGATTTAAACCTGTCGTAAAGCATGTAAATAGACCTATTGTATATTCTTTGCGTTATGTTTATGCATGGTTGCATCTTTATATAGGGAGCAGGAGCTTTTGAAGTTGCAGCAAGACAACACTTACTCAACGAAGTCAAGAAAACCGTTAAAGGGGTAATTTAATATCATTTACACATACTCTATTATTGTTTTCATGAATAGTCTAGATCACTAATACTATCATTCAACGTTGCAGCGTGCCCAACTCAGCGTTGAAGCTTTTGCTAATGCCCTTCTCGTGGTGCCTAAGACACTTGCAGAAAACGCAGGTCTTGACACACAAGACGTGATCATTTCTCTAACGGTATCCATTCATCTCTTATCCTCTTCCGCAAAAACCGAAATCAGTTGCAGATAGAACAAAGATTTAGTTTCTCATTGTGCTATACTCTTATGCAGAGCGAGCATGACAGAGGAAACGTTGTGGGACTGAACATTGAGGATGGTGAACCAATTGACCCGCAGCTTGCTGGTATCTTCGACAATTACTTGGTGAAACGCCAGTTAATCAACTCAGGGTAATGTTGGAACTACCAAACCAGCTAATTTTAATGAAGTTGTGGGGTTTTGGTTAAAGCCATAATAATACTTTGTTTGTGTTGCAGGCCAATGATTGCATCACAGCTGCTTGTGGTGGACGAAGTGATTCGTGCAGGAAGAAATATGAGGAAGCCCACTTGAAGTCCTTTTGCTTTCTTCGTTCTGAGTATCTCAAGCTTTTGTCCTTTTTGTTTTAAATCCTGAAAGTTGTGTGAAACATTTGTTTTTAGTTTATGAGAAACATCTTGGAATCTGATCTTGTTTTGCAAAACTGAGAAAAAAATGGAGATACAAACAGAATCTATCACTCTTCATATACTGAATAACCAAAGGGGTACATTGGACACCCAGGGAGTCAAAAATAGAAAGTATTCCTAGTCTAATTAAGTCTCTTGCCAATGTCAAGATTAAGCAGGTTAAAAATCTCTTATATATTAATTGAGAAACATTTGAAAAGTTGTAATCTTACGTTTGTATTAATTAAAAAATAAACTCATCCTAAGTGGCATATGTCTTATATTTCAATTTAGAAGGATTCTATAACACCTCATATAAAACATAGTTTTAAAATATGATCCATTGGTCTCATATAACACCTTATATAAAACATAGTTTTAAAACATGGTCCATTGGTCTCATATAAGACTTATCAAACAAAATAACATATCAAACTAAATCTCATATATATTATTTCTTTAAATAAAACCTACGAAATTATCTAATTTGATTAAGATGTATATAACTATTAATGATATTGAAAATAAAGATTTGTTCAGAATATGTATACTTTATATCATTTTTGTTTAACTTTTTATTATTAAAATAATTACACAGCTACACTAATCATTTAATAAAAAATAGTTTTTTTTTATATATTTTATTTTGAAATTTTCAAAACGATTATAAATTACTAAAACTGTTTAAAATCTCACATAAATTTTTGTGATCAAGGTCTTATTTTTTTATAATAAGTTACAATGATTATAAAATCATATGAATAAATAATTTTAGTTTAATAGGTGTTTATGTTTATATATATATATATCTTATGAATAAATAATATTATTTTAAACATAATTATAATTTTAAACTTAACTTAATTTTTTAAATTATTTTTATTTAAAAAAGGTTTTTAAAATATAATTTTTTGATATTTTAGACAAATAAATAAATTATATTAAATTAGTTTTCAAACTTTATATATTCTAAATATATATTCTACCAACTACTTCTTAAGAAAGCATTAGAAAACTGGATAATGCTCTACCAATTAAGTCATGTGACATTCTGTTTATTTTCCATCACTCGAAGACTGAAAAGTGAAAAGATATATGAACGGGACCAATTAAATTCTAAGTTTTGATCTATAGTTCTAATTTACAATTTTTTTCTGATCCTACGTATATATAACTGTATAAAAAACTCCAAAATTTCCAATACATATAAAAACAATCATATGTAAATTTTTAATTTGTCAATACTAAAATTTTATATTTTAATTACTTACACTCATCTTGCGTAATTATGAGATGGCTTATGGCTAATTGTGATATGGACAATGAAAATTAATGTTGCTTTACATTTTTGATAATTTTTTTCCAGAATATGGTAGTAACCAATACATCATTATTAAAGTAAATATATTCCATCGATGTCAAAAAAAAAATATATATATATATATATATTCCAATATGTTATTAAATAAAATAACAATATATTAATAAATTAAAAAATATTATTTAATTTTATTTTTATTACTAAAATATCTTCAAAATATATTATTTTTTAAATGTAACATTTTAATCTTAATACCATTAATATCTTTTGGATATCTACTAAGATTAGAAATACTCTTCATTTTAACTTTTCTGATGATTATATAAATTTTGATCAAAATTTTCTTTTAACTTATACAAGTTAATTTGATAGGTTTTGACCAAAAATAGATAAAAATCTTTCTAAGACTAAAATGTTAAACATATACATATCTATAAGTAAATACTTTTTTTGTCGACATCTATTAGTAAATACAATATTAAAATAAAAAATTGTTTATTTTATCTTACTCTTTATGTTTAATTAAGTCATAATTTATATTTAAATATTAGTAAGAAAATAATAAAATAAAAATATTAACAAACAAATTATTTTGAAATATAATTTAAATTTAAAGTTTTTATTGATGCATATGGTGCAAGAGAACACTTAGTTGTGTCATTACAAATGAAGAATTTTGTCATTACAAGTAAATAGCTGTGTTACTGATTGTAAAGGGTTATGTTAATACTAGTGAGAGTTGTGTGTCTTATTCTTTGTGAATCTTGTTCCAACTTATCTAAAAGTCACAGCCCTAAACATACAGAAACTCAATTATCAACCAACAAAATAAAGAGCTCATACTAAAATTAGAGTGTTATTATTTTATTAGGACATGGAAGCAGAAACATGGACTACAACGGACTTTCTTTATGATTCTTCATTAGTCGAGCTTTTTTTGTTTTATGTTTTTTTTTTCATGGAGATTGAGAGTGGTGATGAGTCTGAGTGACGATAGGAGATGCACAACATCTGCAGCACCTCCCAAGTGGCGCTGGCTCGCAACACACACAAGCCGGGCAAATCGGTCGCCTGGGGCCGATAGGAACTGAAAAATACGTACTTCATCAAACTTATCTATTGAAACTAATTGATTGTCTATATAGATAGGTTGGCGAGTTCAGTACCTCTGGGGGTCGAAGGAATACGAGCAGCGTTGCTTTGTGATAGGGGAAGAAGAAGTAGCAGAGAGAAGACGATGATGACCTTCACTAAGATGGACTTTTTACTGTAAAACGCCATTGATGCTCTGCTTTTGTTATGGATTATGATATTAAAGGACATATAGTATTGATGTGTATTTATATGCGTTTTCCGAGGACGACTTTTCCACAGTCCAATTTTGGATTCAAAGTCTCTGTGTGATGAATGAGAAGTCAAATGTCCATAAATCACTAGACTGACCCACATGTAAGGTAAGGCCAAACTCTAACGCAGCTCTGTGTCTTAACTAGATGATATTATCTTGATTTTTTTATAAATTATAAACAAAAAGGTACAAAAACATGATTAGTTCTGATTTTTTATTTGGGTTTGTAACTTATGAGGACTTTTTTTTTTACACTTTTCTGGTAAGAGACATTTCTTGTATCTTTTATTTAAGAGATGGTTTTTAATTGTTCTTTGTTAAAAGGTAAGAAACATATCTTAACTAAAACTAAGAATCTCAATTAAAAGAACAGAGTTAATCATGACCTAAACGTTAAAGGTACAACAAAAAATGAGACCGTACAAAATAAGCAAATTGTTAAAGATAATATCAAATATGTTGTGATTATCCATTAGGATTTGTCTGCATCTAGATATTAAATATCTGTCTATTTTATATGAGAGAAGTTTATTCAAACATTACATATTTTAACACATTTAACAAGAACTATACAAATTTTTTTATTACTGTTATTTTTAATACCAAATATGCATTCTTTACGTTATGAAAAAAATATTTATAAAAATATCATTACTTTTTAATACCACGTAAGAAAAAACCCTCACATAGGGATTCGGTTCTGTGTTTTCATTGAGTCAGCCGTAAAAACACTACAAACGTCGTTACGGCTGGGTTATTGTTATGTTGCGGCTGAATTAAATAACACGGGTGACTTAAAGAAATTGGCTGAATTAAGAACATAAGTAAGCCGTTTGTAATGACTGATTTACAGAAATTTTGCTGATTTATAGGATAACGACTAATTTACATATACAAGTTACAGCTGACTTATACAACGGTGGTGTGATTTCTAGAACATTTGACTGAGTTGTAGTGACACAGCTGAGTTATGTTTCCCCGGCTGAGTTAATGAACATCGACTGGCCGAGTTACTAAATTTACGGCCGACTTATGAGAGGTTCTTATGGCTCAATTATATTTAATCAGCCATAATTGGATGTATTATTAAGAAACTCAGTTTATTTACGGCTGACTTATTAGCGAAAGATCAATTACTAGAATAACATTCGTTTGACGGCTGATTGATTTGACGATGCAGCTGACTTATTATTTTCCATCATAATTACGACTGCTTTTTTAGCAAAAATTTAATTACTGAAATAGTATTCACGTTTTGGATGACTTACCTTGTACATGTGGGCTGATTTATTTAGGATGAGTTATGTATCCGTTTAGTGGCTGACTAACCAATTTTTCATGTCATCCGCAATGTCATCAACTCGAATTTGCCATGTCATCACTAACAAACTTTACAACTCGGTTTATGTTTTTATCTGTGTGTTCATCTTTTTCTTCATCTTCTTTATATATCTTCTTCATTTTATTATTCATCTTTCTCAGAGATTTTATATATCAGGTAATTATTATTTCCAGTAACTAGATTAAGAAAAACATATATCTATTCAACGCTGGCAGTAGAGAGTGTATAGTTCTGCATTTAGATGAGAAAACAACACATGACGAACTCGTAAAATCTATACTCGATGATTATAGATTGAATGAATTGAGGCATTGGATTCAGCTTAGCTACATGTTCTCAAATAAAGCTTTGAAAATGATGGTGCACGACACTCCACCAGTTAACGTCTCCAATACTCGACAATTGCAAGTTTTTCTAATCCTAAATAAAATCAAACAACTACTGTCTGTGTGGAGATAATAGAGAACAAGGATGGCGAAATGAATCGTATGACAGAGCAAGAGAGAAGATTAAAACATTTTTCAGTTTTAGCTCAGAAGTAAACAACCCAGAAATTAAATCCAAATACAAAAATTATATAGGGGTTACGATGGTTACAATTTGAAGGAGCAATGCCATTATGTTTAATTACGATGGTTTCAGTGGGGGTTATCTTATCTTTTATTTTGTTCTTTGCTATGCCATTATGTATATAAAAAAACATACTAATGTATGAAATTAATTATATTATGGCTGAGTTTTCGTTTACATATGGCTGGGTTTTTCTTTATGTATGTCTGGATTTTGGTTTAAGTACGGCTGAGTTTTGGTTTAAATATGATTGAGTTATTGTTTATTTACGGCTGAGTTATACCAACCTAACTAGCAACTGTATAATAATTTTTGATTCGTAAAATTTCTGGTTAAATTACGGCTGGATTTTGATTTTACTATGTCTGAGTTTTGATTCACATTTCTATTCACGGCTGACTTATGCACAAAATTTACGGCTGCGTTAATAAACAGTGTGGCTGAGTTGCAACATTACGGCTGAGTTACATAAAATACAAAGGCTGACTTATGATTACAAAACATGACTATGGAAAGAAGTAGAAATAGCAAAGTATGCCCATACCAACCCCACAAACCACCACATTTCTCAATCACTTCACCTTTCCCGTCTTCTCAAAGTCTTTTTCCAACCGAGCAATGTTAATTCTCAGATTTGATATGCCTCACTCATCACTGATTTCATATCTTCTACCTCTTTCACCAGGCACTCATTCGTTCATTTAAATAAATGTCTCTGATTTCACCAACATAACCAAATCTCAGTATCGCATTCAGAACATCTATACTATTATTTAAGAAGTAAATTTGTTTAGTTGTCATGGTCTCCATAAGTTTAGGTAATTTTGTTTATTTATCATATTTTTAATATTTATATATAATTTATTTATAAATAAAATAAATTTATATGAATATATCATATTTTTAGAAACTAAGATAATTCTTGTGAATTATGTTGTTATCTTGAAATATATTTTTTATATAAAACTTAAATTTTAAATTAAGCTATAAAATTATTATATTTATTATGTAACTAAAACGAACTTATATTAATAGTTTTATACAACTAAAATTATATATTATTATAATTAAATATATATCATCAACAAAAACTATTTGAAAAGTGAATTTGTTGATTTGTCTCCATGATCTTAGGTAATTTTTATCATTTATCAGAATTTCTCTAATTTTGTTTATTAGTGATTATAAATCTTCTATATTAAAAGAGAAGTAACATTTATATCTAATACAAAAAATCATGTTAGACCATCTCATTAATATGACATATTTAATTATTTATATTAATCAATCAAATATATATAACTGGAGGGTAATTTTAATAATTAATAAGATATTATTAATAAATTTGTTGAGAAAATATCTAACAAGATCTTACTAAGAAGTTTAAATATATTTATAAAATATGCATTATTTAATTTCGTGATTAATATGTATAACTATCTATATTAGTGTTAAATAAAAATAAAATTGTTATATTTTATAATTTAGTTATATTCTATATTATATTAAAAAATGCTATGTGAAATGAATATAAAATCTATTAAATTGGTAAAGGAAAATATTTTATTTTAAAAAATTTATCACTCACTTTTAAAACATATTAAAGTTTTTAAACATATAATATTTTTATACAAAAAATGTTAACATATATTTTTATAACTCACAACAAATACATAATATAAAAAATTATGTATGAATATATATTTTTTTTTTTAACTTACAACAATATATTATATAAAAATAATTAAAATTATAAGATTATACAATTATACAATATATAACAATAGAATGTAAATCATATATATTTGAAAGGTTTTTTATATTTTTATAAATTGAAAAAAATACCCGCACAGATGTGCGGGTTCAAAATCTAGTCATTCAGTTATAAAGTATCGTTTTAATATAACTAGCAGTTATATTATGTCTGCTAGTTAAGCACAAAAGGGACTCAAGAGAGAAGGCTGAGAAGCATTTGTTACAGAGAAAAGGGAAGGAAAAGAATAGTTAAAGCTTTTGAGACTCCCATGAATGATGAATCTATATGTAATCTTGTTATGATCATAGAAAATAGGTGGTGAAACATTTTTATTTCCTGCAAACATTTTTATTTCTTTCTTGTTGTTTGTTGATTATTCTCTTATGTTTTGTGGTTTTTCAACAACCATTGACAAGATGAGGAACACAAATTGGGAAGATGTACTTTGATTTTCTTGCTTGTCTTTGTCCTGATCTCACCCATGAGAAGCATCCACTTCCTCTCTTGTGCTTCTTTGTTTCTTCTTCTTCACTTATCTCTTGATTCTCGTCTCCTTCTTCTTTACTCATCTGAGTCATCTCTTGTTTCTCTTCTTCTTTACTCTTCTCTTGCTTCTCTTCTTCTTTCTCTATCTCTTCCAATTTCATATCCTTGAAAATCCAAATTACTCATCAGTATCTTGACAACTAGACTTAGATTTATAATCTTGGAATACATTGGACCTACCTACAACGAGGCATTTTCTTACATTTCAGAGGTTTTCGGTCTTTTGGAAAATAACTATATATATAGTTTCAGGTTCAACGCGTGAATAGTTGTATAAACATAAAACACAATTATATTTTAATTGTCAAAAGTAAAAGTAAATGTGAATCCCTTAGTCCATCTGTAATTTTAGTTTTATGTAAAACAAGCAAATTTTTAAGTTCCTCTCTCTGGGGTTAACTTCTTGACGGTTGTACTTAGTATTAGTTTAATTTTATAAGTTGACTTTCAGTACTAACAGGTTTTGAATAAAATGAAATATTTATGTTTATACAAATCTTTACAATAATTAGTGCCTTATCGAGTTGCAAAACATATATACTATGTTAAACATATAAATGTATAGATACATAAATCATTGCACACATATATCTATGCATAACAGCATAAATATGTAATATGTAGGTAACGTATAGAGAATATGGTATAGTCACGTGAGTTGGACCCAAAAATCTTGAAATGGGGTCTAATGAAAGATTTTTTCATGAAAAAGTTATATCCTAATAATTATGCGTTTTTTTTTTTTTTTTTTTAATAATTATGCGTTTTTATGTGTTTCTCTGATCGATACGTGTACTATGTTTCGTATATTATGAAAGAATATCGAATCTTAAAATGAATCCTATATCATGTGCATAAACACTAAAAAGTAGAAGAATTCTATCATGGAAGAATGGCACACAATTATTTGTGTGGTGCTTTTCTTATCTTGCAAAAGAATCTAATTATTGATGCACGTACCCTTCAAAGTATTATGCAATTATTATTTTCCGTACCTTTTTCATGGACCTCATGCATGGTAGATAATTTTAGGACATATCATTACTATATACTATACCTCTTGTTGACTTTCCAATTTGATATTGAAATCTATTGGCGAATCATTAGCTTCCACGTGTCGTTTCAGAGACCGTTCCATGATCGGAGGCGTCTTTGCCGGACTAGGGCTACCGGAGCTAAGATCCACCGACGTACCCACATCTCGTTTCAGCCCCATAGCTTTCTTTTCTACTAAAACACCCCCCAAATTTTCATTTTATTTAAGAAAAAAACTTTGAGAAAACTAACAATAAAAAGGGGACATATGTAAAATCAATCACCTCGAACAAGAACAGCACCAGGAGCATAAAGATCCTCGTGAATGACTCTAACGTTAGGATAATTATTGGGTTTGTTTTGACCAATATTTGTCGATGGATTGGGGTCAGGGTAGTGAAGAGGAGGAGACATGGTGGTGGTCAAGTTTCTGAAAGATCTTGAACTTAATGTTTTATAAGACAAACACTCCATTGGAACTTCTCCAGATAATGGATTGCATATATATTTCTCTGCTTCATTCCACTTCGAGTTCAAAGCAAACCCTTCTTGTGTTAACCAATCTCTGTTATTGAACATTGTCTTCGCTTGTAATGCTGCAAACCCAAAAGAAAAACAGGACACAAAGTTGAACATTCCTCCTTTGTTTAGTATGTTCTTGTTATGAAAAAAAACTTACCCTTGAGTGCATTGGTGAAGGAATATGTTGATGGATCAATCTCTTCTGTTTATAAACATTTAAACATTTTATAGATTATATATTAGTGTTTCAAAACAAGAAGTGTTTCAAGAAAAAAATTTATTAAATGATTATATTAAGATAGAGAAAAAGAGTGGTAAATCTTTAGCGACCTTTGAGAGTGTAACCAGGAGATGAGGCAGTACTAGAGATGTTAAAGTTTGTTCTAGTAGAAGAAGACTTGTGATGATCTTCTCGGAAGCTTCCAATGTATGAAGCAGAAAACCTTCTAGAAGTCTGTTTTTCTCGGATTAATCGAGCTCTTCGATCCCATTCTCTTAGGTTCATAAACTCAGACTCATCTCCACGCAGAGCCATCGGAAACAATATGTTTCTTTCTCTCTTTTTTTTTTTTTTTTTTTTTTTTGAAAGAGCTAAAGCTAACG